CAACTCGCGAGTCCAAATCCTACAACTAAGTCCTCTAAGGGCAAAAAGACCATTTTTCCCTTCCCATGGTCCAAAACCCTAAATCTTGACCAAAGGTCAAAAGTCAACAAAAGTCAACTGCCCAACGGGTACGCTGGGCGTACCTCTCCTTACGCGAGGCGTACAACTCGAACGGCGTATGGTCGGGGTTGGAACCGGCTACGCAGGGCGTAACCAGGAGTACGCACGACCTACTCCGCCTGCGTAGCCAGGAGTACGCACGACCTACTCCATCTGTTTCAACTTGTCAACTTTGTATCTTAATCCATTAAGACATCTAACCCCCAACTTCAGATCTGGCCATCCTAAGGCGACTTATTTCATAAATTCATCGACTTTAAGCCTTTTCATGGCTAGAAAAGTCCCGATGCAACAAACTTAAACTTCCAACACATTCTAAGCTACTTTGCTGATATATGAGCCATAGGAATTGATCAAGAAATCATTTTTATAAATCTACAAGTCCTATAATGCATGAAAGGACAGCTACAAGCCTCTGGAGTGCTCCAAACTCATAAAGGTCTAATCTTGGGGACAAAAGTTCATAAAACTTCAACCATGTAGATCTAATGAAAAACTTATCAATGTATAAAATTTATACATGAAAATGATGCACCAAGAGGAAAGGTCCGTGGATCTACAAGCTTGCTAGCACCTACTCCTTCTTCTCTAGTTTCCTTCTTCAACTAGATGCACCAAAAACACTCAATAAGCTCACAAGACTCACACAAGCAACTCAACTCGGAATTAGGGTTTAGGGAGGGAATGGTGGCTGATAAAGATGATCAAATGGGGACATAATGTTGTTTAAATAGGGAGCACCCCTTTAGATTAGGGTTTAGAGTTTGGGCTAGTACGCCCGACGTACCATACATATGCCCAACATACTAGCGGATCATCTGCGATTCCAAGTTGCATGAGTATGCTGCACATACTCTTGAGTACGCCTTGCGTACGACCACAAATGCATGTCTTTTTCCTCAAGGGACCAATTGTACAACTTTTGATAAAGATAAAAGCAATAATAAAAATACATGATATTGGGATGTTACATGCCACTTGTGTATGCGTGTGTGGTGTGTCCAGTTTTGTGTTTGTGTTTCAATCTCCTTTAAGAATGTGGTATGATCTCCTTCAAGCATATCTACAAATCGTAGACGGTAACTTCCATGGATTGTATCTAAGTCTCACCGCTGAACAACTTCAGGTCTCTGACACTTTGGTAAGCTTCAGTTGATGTGTTTTTTTGGTTTTTGATTTATTTCAACTCGGTGTATTGATCGTATATCGTCGGTGCTAAATGGTTGCTCTGGTCGGAGATGACATAACGAAGAGAAGGGGAGTCACGTGTGGTGTTTCTAAAGTGAAGATGGAGACATGTGTGGCGCAAAGGTTATCGTCGGAGGTGAAACATTGTGTTCACCGAAATTTGGAATGGCAAAGGGAAGACGATTGTGAGAGGAAATGATGGAATCAAGGAGATTTAGATTCAGGAACAGAAATCTAGTGTGGGTTTGTGCTTGTTTTTAATTGACTTTCAAAGATCTGATCTGCCAAATCGATTTTTTTAAGGATTGTAGGAACTTATTTGCAAACATGATTGAGAGAGGCGACGATGGAATCATTGAGATGGAGTCTGGTTTTACTCTGTGTGTGTGTTGTGTGAGAGAGAGAGAGAGAGAGGGGGGGAGAGAGAGAGAGAGAGAGAGCCTTTCCATATTAAATTTCATTTTTTTTAAATAAGAGAAAACCTCATAAATAGTCATTGGATAGTAAATGACGAAAATGCCCTTCACTTAATGGCCAAAAGCTGATGGAGTTAGCAAAAATGACCGAACATCAAAAGTTTTGAAAACATAGGGACCATCTGTAAAAAATTTTGAACTTAGGGACTAAACTACTGATCTGGAAAAAACACAAGGACCAAAAATGATGTTTTTTCTTTAAATTATTTTATACAAATTATGTATTTGGTTATATTAATATAATAATATAAATTTTAAAGCTAGTAAAATGAAATATTTTAGATAAATAGTAAAAAACTTTCAAATTCAAGGGGTTTTAATGAAAATGTAAAAGAGTTTGAGAGAAAGAATATATACTCTGATTATTCATTTTAGTGTAAAAAAAGTGAAAATTAAAACCAGGTTGGAGATGAATCACTATTAGCACTACTATTCACTCAAAAATAGAGTGCGGTTGAAGATGGTCTAACTCCCTCGTTTCTTGTTTTTGTTTTTTCCCATAAAGCCCAAACCCTTGTGTTCAAATTCCGGGAGGGAGATAACGAGAATCTGCATCTATGGCCGCCAATGAAAAGCACACAGTCGATCGGAAGGAGAAAGATGAGAGACAGTTATGTTTGCTTTGCTGAGCAATAACATTTTGAAGAGTACCACATTGATACGAGCCCAAACGTAAATAATTTGCTCGATGGGGGGCTCATTATTGCGACATTTAGGAATTGGAGATGACAAAAAGGAAAGTAAAATCGGTTTTCGGTTGTTGATCATCTTTGTGTGTAATTACTAATTAGTGTGAACCTAGAGGATAAAACATCATGGGACCAAAAGAAAGAAGAAAACAAAACGAAATGAAAAATAAGAAATTGATAATGCGAGAAGGAGAGAGTAAGTGAGGGTGTTTGTTCTTCGTGTTCATGGTGAAACCAATCGAACCCAAATGAATACCAAACTTGAATCCATGCATAATGAACCCATATATGTGCTTTGGACTTCGTTTTCTTCACAAGATGAACCCATATTTGATCTTCGGACTTCAGACCAACATTTTCTTCACAAGATCTGATCCGAATAAGGCCTGTGGTGGAAAATCCAGAAAATCCAGATGATTGAATGTTTTTTCCGGTGATGGTGAGGTAGTAAGCCAATGGCCTATAGGGTATGGTTCACCGTGTCCTTACTCTAAAAATGTGTCGTCGCAGCTTCACTACACCACTAACCTTAGGAACACCACTCCACATCATTCATATCTTTTTATTTTTTATTTATTTTAATACAACGCTTAAAAAATTCCATTTCCAAAAGCAAAATATAAACTCCATTCATAAAACGAATACAAATTACATTAATAAAACAAAAAATACACTAATCTGAAAATAAAAATTATGATGATATTAATAAAACTAAAATGCATAATTAATCATCATATTTTGCTTGAATTTTCCGTTCGAGCTTTAAAAATGTTCGAAGTTGTTCCGACGTAGATCCAGTTTTTGAGGTAAAGTGAATGAGCAATAGTTGGTAGTTTAGAAAAAAAAAATGGTGGTTATAGTTTGAAAATATATTTTAGATCACTCTCTAGGCGTCTGTCAGTTTTACATTGGTTTTGGCCACACATTTTTTAATGTTGTCGAGGCTCAGTTGTACAACTATTTCTTTGGGTTAGTGGTGAGCAAAAACCGAACCGACTAAAAATAAACCGATAAAACCGCAACAAACCGCAACCAATAAACCGAAACCGATGCAAAAACCAATGGTGCAGATTTCATTTTTGCAAAAACCGAAGGTCTGCAGGTCGGTGCGGTTTTTACCAAGAAACCGGTCCATCAAAAACGAACCGCACCGAAGATTTATAAAATAATAAATCACTAATTTATATTTATATTCGATAATATATACATCTTTTTCGAAATACTAAGAAATATTAATACATATTATATTTGGACTTTGGACTTTGATAGTTGGTTTTAGCCATTTAGTCGGGATTCCAAATCATTTTCCAAAACTTATTATCTATTTAGTTTTTATTTTTGTAGTTAAAATCACAACAGAGTAGGTTACTAATTAACTAACAAGTAAACCAAAATTCAATTTTTTTTCTTAGAACTTTTGATTTATATAATTTGTTTTGAACTGAAAATAAACTTTTACAAATAAATGGTTTCAAAAAGTGAAAAAAATTGCACCATACAAGCTTACATGCACATTGTTATCGTGTTTTTTTTTAAATACACCAAAAAACATCAAAGACCACACCAAATTTTAGAATCAGCTTAAAACTGAAACCGCACCGATACAAACCGAAACCGCATTTAGAAACCGCAAAACCGAACCATTGGAAAACCGCACCCAACGGTTTTAAGAATGCAAAAACCGCACCTTGCTTTTTGCGATTCGGTTTGGCCTTAAAACCGCATCAAACCGCACCATGCTCACCCCCTACTTTGGATGGTGCTGGAGAGGAGTCATCAGAAAACATCATGACCGAAAAGATAAAATTAAAACTTAGATGTTATAAATAAATTTAATCTTAATTGTTGTATTCTACAACTAAAAAATGCTCCTTGTTTTCATGCGTATGTTACGTTGGTATGATCTAACTTCTCCTAATGCAATATATGCATAAGGGCAGGCCCATTGTTCGTTTTAGCAGCCCATGCAGGGGTAGAAACGAGTTATACGGCCTTGAAAATAAATACAGTCAGGGTCTTTTTTTGAATAATCAAAAATCCTCTTCTTCATCGTGATCCACTGTTCCTCTTCCAAGTTATCTGGTGAGTGGTTTTTGAACAATCAGCTTCTTTTTTTGCCTTATAGTTTATGCGATGGGCTACAAAAAATTTCAGATTCACCAACATTATAATCTTGTGAATAACATTTATAGAATATTTCTTATTGATTGCAAATATGACAAACAAAACTAAATCGAATTGCATCACTGATATATACATAAATAAATAAGCATATAAATCCCCGATGGCTTTTACTCATCCATTCACACAACCATGAATATTTACAAGAATTCTAAAGTTATGCAAACAGAGAATAATCTTGATTGGAACTGATATTTATCTTGTTGGAAAAATGCAGATGTCAGATTATCTATGCGAAGATTTGATTGTTGAAATATTTACAAGACTACCACCCAAATCCCTCCTCCGATTAAGATCACTCTCTAAGTCGTTATATACTTGTATTTCTAGCCCTAGTTTTATACGCATGCACACTTTTGGATCCCCACAAAAAATCCTCTTCAGACATCAAAATAAAGAAGCAGAATCTTTTTATACCTTACATGGAGAGGAGGAATTGCCATTGTATTTGTGTCCCAAACGTGGATACATTGGTATAACAACAACAATCTCGTTCCCTTCTGGGGGAACTATTGGTTCATGTAATGGAATTTTCTGTTTGCGGACTAAAAAAGGTTTTACCCTATGCAACCCTTCAATCAAGCGCAAACTAAACATGCCTGAATTTCCTCGGAGATCTGAATCCTTTTCGTTGCAAGGTATTGGGTTTGGATTCGATCCAATCAGTGATGATTACAAAATTGTCCGGATATCATATGTCAAAAACCATTCATTTGTTTATGCTGTGAAGAGTGGCACTTGGTGTGAGATTGCTTCCCCTAAACATGAAAATCAGATTTGTAGTGTGCAACATGATGCCTTGTTTTTCAATGGAGTGTTGTGTTGGGTGATACATGTTTATCAAACAGAACCAAAAGACATATGCATTTGTTGTATACTAACATTCGATTTGAGCACTCATGTTTTTGGTATGATTCCATTGCCTACATCCAATGGACATTGGATTACGACAGGACTAACAACCATCCAAGGTTCTTTAGCTTTGATTTCTCATCATCGTGAATTTAATGAAAGATGGATTTGGGTATGGAGAGATGATTCTTGGTCTGTGGTTTTTAAAATCAATACAGGTGAACTTTATGTTCTTGGAGCTTTGCAATTGCAACCGCAACCGACCAACAATGATGATTTGTTGCTAAATACTCATTCTCATGGGCTCCAAGATTATAATCGCAAGACGGGGGTGCTATCAAGAGTAGGCGACTTCAATGATGCTTCAAGTTTATGTTACTTTTATCAGTGTGTCGAAACCCTTCATTTGTTAGACATGGGGGAGACTATGGGTGAAACGGAAGAACTATGAAAAAAAATAACAACCTTGCATTTTGAATTTCGACGCATTTTAATTACCATTTTGGTCTTTGTCATTGGTACAAAAGTTTTTTTTTAGTGAATAAACAGATATGTAATTTTCTACTTGTTTGCCAATAAAAGGAGATATTATTGAGGCTAAAATTCTTGATGATGGATGATCACATCAAGCAGAATATCCTGGTCAAATCCAGTGCATCATGCACATTTTTCTCCATGTGAGCGCATTTAGAACTTCACATATGATTTGGCATTTCGTCGAGCACCTAGTAGGTGTCTCTTCACCTGACAGTCGAGCTAGTCTAGGGTCATCAGGAGCATCATCTTCAACCTTTGCTGACAATCAAAGATCATCAAGTTGCAGGGCGCATCAGGGATACAACAGCTAGGCCAATCAAGATCATTATGCACAAATTTGATTTTAAGCTATAGCGCATCTGATTCAATTGCTTGGGTGCACCAGGCTAGAGCTTGGAGGCTCATTCATCTGACCATCAACATCTCGCCCATCATTGATGGTCGGTGCATCTGGTGCTTGTATATGTGAACACATTAGTTCGAACAATAGGCACGACGAGAGCATTTGAATAAGCGCATCGAGCTACTTTTTTTACGGTGTGTATGGGGCGTTTTGGTTCAGTTTTTTGCTAAAACCGAACCATAACCATTAGGCTGGAAGGAGTGGTGTCACACTCCTCATGAAACCCCAATGCCACGTAGGCGCCACCATTTTACCACAAAAGTGTGGTTTTCATACCACACCCACGAATGGTGCCACACTTGGGGTTTTTTTTAATAAATAAAAACTTTATTCTTTTTAAAAAATATAATATTTCATTAATTAAAAATAAAATTACCATTACATTGCTAACTTAAAAAAAATAAACACAAAAATTTAGAAAACCAAACTAGAAATATTAAACCTACAACTTAAAAAAAAAACACACATCAAACGATTAAAAACTTGGAAAAAAAAAACTAGAAAATTAAAAACGATTAGTGTAACGTGTTTTGACGTCCTCCTTCATCGTCAAAACAACTTGAAGCTCATCCCTGATCGACGTGTCCATCACTAGCACTCTCATGTCGTTGTCTCTTTGTTTCTGAGCCTCTCTATCCGAAGCAAGTTGTAAAAATTTATCCATTCTATCTTTTATGTCTTTCACATTTTTGCCCATTTCTTTCAAGTCATCCGACTCCGACGCTTAGCTCTTGCCTTTTCTTTTCGATTTGTCCCTTCTCATCGGTCGGGAGGGTGGTGAAACTTCAATGAGCTCATCATCGTTGAGGTCGAAATGAACACGGGCATCTGATGTAGTTTGATCGGATTCAAAAGTTCTTGACCGTTTTGAGCCACTATCGATGTGCTACTCGATTGTTTTTTTATTTTGTCATTTTTGTTGTCTTTGACTAGATTCCAGACTTCAAAAAACTTGAAAGGCTTCTTTTACTCTTTGTGGTAAATGTTAAAAGATTTCTCCAAAATCACATCGCCACTTTTTCCACTTCTCCATTGTCGTTTGATGTTGTTATATAAATTATTAAACAAATCTTTCCCCATTTTGAGTAGACTTCATGCTTAGTACGATATGGTTCTACGTTCATTCCCTTGTGAAACCTAGCTTTAACGTGCATCCAAAACCGGTCATGTTTTTGGTCCTTTCCCGTCATCGGATCTTCTAAAACGTCAACCCATGATTGTGCCAACGATAACACTTCATGGGCTTCCCACGGTTTAGCATCCGCCTTCTCTTTTTTATTTTATTTTGTGGTCGAGCGGGTTGAGTTTCTTGAACAAATTCGGGTTCGGAATCAGAAATAAGTGTTTGTGGTTGTGATTGTGTTTGTGGAACAAATTCCGGTTGACAAACAAAATCAAAATGATGAAATTCCAGGTCAGGTTATGTTTGTGTTTGTGGAAGTGGTTGTGTAGGTCGTTGTGGTTGTAAGATACGTTATGGATAGTAGGGAAGCATTCCGCCATAGTGGTAAAAATGTGGCGAATAAATCGGTTGATCGAATGAAGGTGGTCGGGTTGTGGTGTTTCTAGTGGGTGTTTTTTAGTTGGTAGGCTTTTTGGAAGATGACATTTTGAAAGATTTTTGAAAGAAAAAAGTTTGTAAAATACGAAGTTTTGTCAGTTATTTTGGTTAAAATAATTGTGTATTTATAGTGTTAGTAAAAAAACTTAAAATTTTGACCGTTCCCAACGGTAAAAAAGGCAACCAATCAAATTCCTCCTCCAAGCGCTCCTGTGTACAGCCGTAGTGCGGCCCTAGCCGCACCCAAACCGCGGTCTAGGGGCGGTGTTCCAGGTAACGTGGCACATAAGGTGCGGTCTTAGCCGCACCCACTCCCACCGGTCTTATAAGTGGTTAATAAATTTTATTAGCCATTGTGTATTGGTTAATATTGGTTTTCGTTTTTGTCGGTGAATGGTTATGGTTAATGGTTAATACATGGTTAACCATAATGGTCGAAAATGAGATTAAAAAAATACTTTTTTATAAAAACTGAAAAACATAAAGTACATTGTTATAAGAAAGTGAATGATTCGATGTTTATAGCCTTATTAATATGTTATAAGATTAGGTGTCCCATTTAATTCCAAATAATTACCCTTTAAATTTTCAATTCCAAATATAATTACATATCATATATTTAAAATGATATTATATTAAAAACATTTATTAATATTATTGGTTCCGTTTGGTTTTTAGTGGTTCGGTTTTGGGTGAAAACCATAACCAAACCATATGTATTTGGTTAATCAAAAATAGAAACTGCACCACCTTTTTTAGAAATGGTTCGGTTATTTCGGTTAATTTGGTTTTGGCTTGTTTTTTCGGTTAATATGTTCACCCCTACTTCCTTTTTACCAGGATACCAATTGTTGAAAATGTACACGTTATCGATTAATGCCATGTCACTACGGACTTGTGCTGAAAATGTACATGTGGTCATGCGTACGGGTTGCAACAGGTGAAAAATAGTAAAAGAGTAGGTCATAACTCACCTTATGCCCCCATAAAGCCAAAAAAAAAAAAACTTTAGGGACCATTTAAACAAAAAGTTGAAATTTTAATGAGTTATATCATTTCCCCAAATAACAATTATATACATATTTGATAATTTGTAGCTATTTTCACTCTCACCCATATAGATCCACTCCCGTTGCAGCAAAGGCTGCAAGCAGTGACAGTGAAAAAACCAAGAACGAATGCTAGCCGGATCCATTATATATATATATATATATATATATATATATATATATATATATATATATATATATATATATCAATGTAAATTTTCAAACCAAAATTTTCAAATTTTAAAACACATTTTCCTCAATTCAAACATTTCAAAAGTGTTATAGTATCAAATCATCCAACACATATCCCAAAAACTGAATATATAACAATCCAGGATCCTCTCAAACATAACTCAAATCTAAGACGCGTGTACAATCAAGCCAGTGCCTTCCCGTGATCCTAAGAAGTACCTGAAACACATAACACATAACACGGTAAACACAAAGCTTAGTGAGTTCCCCAAAATACCACACATATCTCATTAGCCTCTCATGGCTATACTCAGATAAGACCCTCCGATCAATGTGTCTCAGTGGGACCCTCTGGTCCCACTACTCAGTTGGACCCTCCGGTCCCTCACCTGGGCAACTCAATATAATACACAACATATAAATCACAAAGACAACTAGCAGGATATATCAATACACAGTATATGCACATAAGACCCTCCGGTCACACATAGAATACCACTCAAGGTAAGTATAGTGAGAAGACTCACCTCGTAAGAAATCGGATAATATCGAACTCGAATCACCGGTCTAGCCTCCTCCTAACACAATGATAATAATCCCTAATTAATAAGGCTCTCATTGAAGCTAAACTAACCCTTCTACAAACTCACAGAAGGGAAAAAGACCATTTTACCCCTCTATGGCCTTATAGTCCACAAATTGACCAAACCCTAAAAGTCAACCGAAAGTCAACGGCAGGGAGTACGCTGCGCGTACCAACTCTCTACGTTGGGCGTACTCGGCTGCCATGCAAGTCATCGGGGATGCTCGACCCCTACGCTGCGTGTACTGGGATTACCTCAGCGTATGCCCCAGTTTCACTCTCCTAATGTTTTTGGTCTTAATCAGTTAAGACATTGGCTCATATCACAGATCTAGACTCCCTAATGTCTCTTAATTCATAAAGTCAGTGACTTTAGGCCTTTGCATGGCTGATTGGGTCACAAACACTCAAAACACCCATCCTCTTTCCTCATGAAGCTCATATCTCATGCATAGTTTACTCCAAACGTCCAAGATTAGATTTTTATGACTCTACTCCACAAAATACACTAAAAGGGGACAGATCAAGGTCTTTGGAGCTTATTATCTCATAAAGTCTCCATCTTTTGGGACAAAACCCTAAAATACTCCATAAAAATGCACAAATCAAAAGAGTGAGAAAGCTTGAAGCTTTATACCTCTAAGTGAAGCTTTCCACACAACTAAGCTCAGATCCACAAGCCTGGACTCTCACTCTTCTTCTCCAAAGCTTCTTCTCCACTTCAAGAACACAAGATTATACTCACAAGCTCTCAAATGCACATACAAGCTATAAGAACGAAGATTTAGGGTTAGGAGGGTTTGGTGTCTGGGAATGGTGGCCAGGAATGAGGCCATCACTTCCTTTATATAGGGCCACACCCCCAAATTAAGGTTTTCATTTTGGGCCTAGTACCCCCAGCGTACCCTCCGTTACGCCCAACGTACTAGGTGGCCTCCGCATCCAATGCACGCACATAAGTACGCTGAGCGTACACTCTAGTACGCCTCGCGTACCCATTTACCACTTCTTCTCTACAAAAGGGCCAAATGGACAAATGCTCAATAGATTAGGGTTCACAAGCTATACATGGACTTGGGGTGTTACAATATATATATATATATATATATATATATATATATATATATATATATATTATATATATATATATATATATATATATATATATAACTAAAAAGTTTTGAAAATTTAAAGTATTTTTGGGTTTTTTCATCAAAAAAATTTCAATGGGGGTATTTCCTGTATAAGTGGGTACCAAGGAGGGGTTTCAGTAAAAAATGATTTTTGGAGGTTTGTTTAGTAATAAATGAAGTGGGACCGTGTAACATCTAGTTTTTCAGGTATTTCCATTTATTCACTTGGTATGTAATGTTTTGCAATTTGGTCCCTTGTAGTGCTTCTTTTGTGGAAGCGTTCTCCATCATGTACGCTGGGCGTACTTCTCGTACGCAGGGCGTATGCGGCCTGGACCAAAACCCTAATATTTAGGGCTTGTTAACTATTTAAACATCCTTATAGCCCCCAAACCCTTTCCTTCATTAGCCTCCACCCCTCATATCGACCCTTGCAAACCCTAATGCATTTTAGAGCATATTTGAGCTTTGAGTGTGTATTTGTAACACCCGGATCATGAAGGTACTTAATTTCTTGAATTATAGCTTTTAGGAAGAGGTTCACGACGTGAGACATGGTGGTCACGTCATGAGTAACCATTGACTAGTTGACCCATGTTTTTGAGCCTCACGACGTGAGACTTTGGATGCTCACGACGTGAGAACGGCCTGATGACCAAAACCCTAATACTTCGGGTATTTAATGGATTAAGAGGGCTAGGGTTGCCCATTCTTAGCCTCCCTCGCTCTCTTGCCCCTAGAAAACCCTAATCCCGACCTGCTTGAAGTCCTTAGCCATTTTTGGTGACATTTAAGCACTTATTTGGTGGTTTTTGGCTCACTGAAGAAGAAGAAGGCTTTTAAGGAGCATTCTCCTGGCAATCCAGCTTCTACCTCACCTTTTTGCAGAGCTTTTGGACCATTGTAAATCATAAAGCTTTGGCCTTTTTACCTCTTGCATGCTAGATCTAGATGTTAAGCTCCTTTTTGCATGGTTGTGTGGGATTGCATGCATGAGATCCATAAAGTTGGCAACTTTATGGATCAGTGAGGCATCTTCTATATCATAATCTTTGGATCTAAGTTTTGGAGTAGTTTTAAACTCCAAGCATGAGTCTTGATCTCATTTTTCCCTCTTTTGACCTAGTGAGTGTTTGACTCATGTATTGGACATGCATGACTAAAAAGCTTCGATTTTTCTCATCCTTTGGGTAAGGGAAGAGCCTCTGGAAAGTCCCAAGTAGTGGCTGAAAGGAATAAGAGCTTAATGCTCAAAGCTGGCCAGGACAGCACGCTAGACGTGAGGAATGAGCCTGTCACGTCGTGAGAATGCATGTCATCCCGATTGTATTGTCCGAATTAAGTCACGACATGACCAGAGGTAGCCATGACGTGACAATGATTGGAATCAAGACTGGGCGAGTTGATTGGCTAAGTTGATCCGTTGAGTTGGGACCGAGTTGACTTAATACTCACGACGTGACCATGAGCTGGTCACATCATCACCACACTCCCTACCACTAACCATGGGATACCTACCACTAAACACACCACTCCACCTCATTTTTTTAATTAAATTCAATTCAAAAATACAATGAAAATAAAATACAAACGTATTTTTTAAAACTAGCTTTTTATTCAATAAAAAAAATTACATTAATTTAAAAAACAACTTAAAATAAAACATGGAAAAATCCGTAAAAATACAAACACAAAAAACTTAAACTAGTTTTTTAAAACCTCATTTTTTAAGCAATCCATTATCGAGAATCCTTAAATTTTAGCCAAGCTTTGAGGTGTGTAAACTCTATGTGGTTTATGTCTTCCTATTGATGCATGACCACAACAACCGGATCGATATCGCCTTCGTATCCGTTGTTTATAACAAATTTATATATTCCGGCGAACTCACGACATTTTACCCTCATATCGCGATACTTGGAACATATATCATCAAGATTACGACTTGGACAACCCATTAAATCGTGAAAAACGTTTTGAACTCTTCCCCAAAAATCTATAGACACACCACTAATTACGTCTTCCGAAACCGACACTCATGCTACTGCTAACTTCTCTTCTTCCTCTTCCGATCAATTCCGCATTTTGGGAGCCATGGTTTTTGAAAGATCAAGAAAAGCACATGTGTGATTGTGAGAGAAGAATTTTGTGAGATAGAAGAAAGTGTATTGTGGTATTTATATCTTAGCTTTATAATGATTTTTTATTTAGGTAAAAATTTAAAAAAAAAACCATAAACTAGCCGTTAGAAGCATTAAATTGCAAATCAAATTCAATTGGCCGTTGCTCTCCGTTGTATACACCACGAACGACCACGAACAATGAGGACAACGACTCCTCAGGGAGGTGTGCACGGTGGTTTTTCGTGACCACTACGTATACCACGGACTCATCCGATCTTTGTATACCGTTTGGTCTAACTTATATATATATATATATATATATATATATATATATATATATATATATATATATATATGTTATATGAAGGTATGGTGAAACTTCACCTAATGCAATATATGTATAAGGGCATACTTACATCCAAAATCGTCTTCTTCATCGTGATCCAGTGTTCCCGTTCTGACTTCTCTGGTGAGTGATTTCTGAATAATCTTTTTTTTTTTTTATTTTATTATTATTTTTTTTTGCTTTATAGTTTATGAGACGGGCTACAAAAATGTTCAGATTCACCAACATTATAATCTTGTTAATAACATTTATAGAATATTTTCTATTGATTGCAAATATGACAAACAAAACTAAATGGAATTGTATGACTATCTATACATACATAAATAAGCATATAAATGCCCAGTGGCTTTCGTTCACAACTACTTACTTTTTTCATTTGATCCCAGTCTTCGTTCACAGTCAATGTTAGTTTACACAACCATGAATATTGAAAAGAATTCTAATGTTATGAAAATAAAGAAAAATTTGATTGCAACTGATTTTTATCTTGTTTGACAAATGCAGGACTAAACAATGTCAGATTATGTATGCTAAGAGTTAATTATTGAAGTATTCACAAGACTACCGCCTAAATCCTTCCTCCGATTTAGATCACTCTCTAAATCGTTATGTAGTTGTATTTCTATTTTCTAGCCCCAGTTTCATAGCATGCACACTTTTCGATCCCCACAAAAAATCCTCTTCAGACATCTAACTAGTGATGGAAAAAATGAAGAACCAAAGTCTTTTATACATTAAATGGAGAGGAGGAATTGCCATTTTGTTTGTGTCCCAAACGTGGATACATTGGTATAACAACAACAGTCCCTTTCCCTTCTGGCGGAACTATTGCTTCATGTAATGGAACTTTCTGTTTGCGGACTAAAAAAGGTTTTACCCTATGCAACCCTTCAATCAGGCGCAAACTAAACGTGCCTGATTACAATCAGTGATGATTACAAATTTGTCCGGATATCATATGTCAAAAACCATTCATTTGTTTATGCTGTGAAGAGTGGCACTTGGTGTGTGATTGCTTCCCCTAAACATGAAATCAGATTCTTAGTGTCCATTATGATGCCTTGTTTTTCAATGGAGTGTTGCATTGGGTGATATATGTTTATCATACAGAACCAAAAGACATATGCATATGTTGTATACTAACATTTGATTTGAGCACTCATGTTTTTGGTATGATTACATTGCCTACATCCAATCGGCATTGGATTACAACAGGAATAACAACCATCCAAGGTTCTTTAGCTTTGATTTCTCATCGTCGTGAATTTAATGAAAGATGGATTTGGGTATGGAGAGATGCTTCTTGGTCTGTGGTTTTTAAAATGAATACAGATGAACTTTATGTTCTTGGAGCTTTGCAATTGCAACCGCAATCGACCAACAATGGTGATTTGTTGCTAAATACTCATTCTCATGGGCTCCAAGTTTATAATCTCAAGACGGGGGTGCCATCAAGAGTTGGCGACTTCAATGCTGCTTCAAGCTTACGTATGTTTTTTCGGTGTGTCGAAACCCTTCATTTGTTAGACATGGGGGAGACTATTGGTGAAACGGAAGAACTACGAAAAAAATAAAACATTACATATTGAATTTCGATGGATATTAATTACCATTTTGGGCTTTGTCATTGGTACAATAGGTTTTTTTTAGTGAATAAACAAATATGTAATTTTCCACTTGTTTGCCAATAAAAGGAGATATTACTGAGGCTAAAATTCTTGATGAGCGATGATCACATCAAGCAGAAAATCCTGGTCGAATCCAGTGCATCAATCACATTTTTCTCCATGTGAGCGCATTTCATCGAGCACCTAGTAGGCGTCTCTTCACCTGACAGGCGCGCTAGTCTGGGTCATAAGCAGTGGCGAGTCTAGAATATAAGCTCATGTAGTTCACTATTTAATTGATACCGATAGAAAATGAAAAAAAAAAAAAAAACTACTAGTTGTGGTTCCGGGTCGTTTAAGCAAGAAACGATTACTAGTTGCGGTGTTGCGTGCTTGTGTTTGTGACTTTCTTGTGTTATGGGAATAATCAAAATACAATTTTTTTAATATCTTTCCTTTTTCTAACCTAATTTTGAATGTAGTGGGTATTTTTTTGGATTATATTTTATGTGAGTTTAGTTTTTGGCTAATGAAATATAAAATGTGGCCTTTCAATTCTTGATTTCTTTTTATTTTTTAAACCAAACAAATTAAAAGTGTGGTCTTTCAATTCTTGATTTCTTTTTATTTTTTAAACCAAACAAATTAAGGTATATTACTACAAAAAATTTAGGTCACAATTGATTTTAGTGTATAAATTGTAATAACTTTTTAAAATAAGGTAGGTCAAGTGACCTACCTTTGGATTAATTGGGCTCGCTCGTGGTCATCAGGAGCATCATCTCCACCCTTTGCTGACAATCAAAGATCATCAAGTTGTAGGGCGCATCAGACATAGAACAGTTAGGCGAATCAAGATCATTAAGCATAAATTTGATTCTAAGCTATAGCGCATCTGATTCAATTGCTTGGGAATAACAGTCTCTTAATCCCACTTAGCCAATCGAACATGGCACTCGACTATAGGTGCATCAGGCTAGTGCATGGAGGCTTGTTCATCTGACAATCAACATCTCGACCATCGTTGATGTCCGGTGCATTTGGTGCTTTTATATATGTGAACACATTCGTTCGAACAATAGGTACGTTTGACGAGAACATTATAGTAAGCGCATTGAGCTACTTTTTTTTTACTAATTGTTGAAAATGTACACCTAATCGGTTAATGTTATGTCACTGCCGACTTGTGCTGAAAATGTACATGTGGTCATGTGTACCTGTTCTTGTTAGAGGTGAAAATGAGTAAAAGAGTAGGTCATAACTCACCTTATGCCCCCCCCCCCCTAAAGCCAAAAATAAAACTTTAGGGACCATTTAGACTAAAAATTGAAATTTCGATAAGCTATAATGTCATTTTCCCAAATAACAATGATATACATATTTGATAATTTTTAGGTATTTTCACTCTCATATTTGATAATTTGTAGGTATTTTCACTCTCACCCATATAGATCCACTCCCATTGCAACAAAGGCTACAAGCAGTGACAGTGACAGTGACAGTGACAGTGACAGTGACAGAACTAGGATCGAAAGCTAGCATGATCCATTATATATATATATATATATATATATATATATGTAGAAAGTTATCAAATTCTAAACTATTTTTGGGTTTTTTCATCAAAAAAAGGTCAATGTGGGTATTTCATATATAAGTGGGTACCAAGGAGGGGTTTTAGTTAAAAAAAATATTTTTGGAGGTTTGTTTAGTAATAAATAAAGTGGGACCCACTCCTGAGTGGGGTTCATGCACCCTACTTAAATAGTCTGCCTCTGCCACTGTCTACATATGCTTTTAGATAGGGGTGTAAACGAGCCTACCCGAGCTGGGTAGGCTCGGGCTCGGCTTGTTTAAAATTTATAGAGCTCAAGCTCGATCTTGGCTCGATTTGAGCTTAATTTTCACAGCTCGAGCTCGGCTCGTGGTGAATTTGAAACGCTCGAGCTTGGCTTGGGGTCGACCCGTTTGTCAGGCGTAGTGACTTTTTGACTTTGACCTTTGACCCGAAATTTGACCAAGTTTGACTTAGGGAATTTTGGGTAATTTGAGAAGTAGTTTGAGATTAGGTCCCTGTTTGTTGTATAGATGACTTGTAGAGTCGGTATCTGGAGCAGCATTCAGTTCAACTATCTTTCAAACTTTTTATATGAGTTTTCCTCACTGTACTTGTGGGTCGAAGGCACCAATGTCGGCCCACTGGATTATGTATCCTGGTATATTAGATGATGTATCCTGGTTATACGAGATAGACTGGTAGATCTATATTATTACATGTGTTTACTGGTTATGTGTTAGACTGGTAGATATTTATGATTACATATACTTGTTGGTTATTGATTGTTATTGTACATGTCGACATGTTATGGTTTGTTGGGTTGAGGCGGTACTGCTTTGTGCTAAATGCCAAGATACCCGGTGTAACATCCCAAAATTCAGACCATAATTTTCAATTAAAAATTTAAGTATTTTATTCAATTACACGTACGAACATCTTAGATAAAACAAATTAACTCAAAACATTTATCAGAGTATCGTCAAAAGTTATCATATGCACAATTCTCCTATGGATGCGATGCAATCGAGCCGTGCCCTTCCTTTAATATAAGAAAACCTAAAACATGTAAACCACAAATCATAAGCACAAAGCTTAGTGAGTTTCCCTAAATTACCACACACAACACATCACCAATAAACAACTATGGGTTATCAGCAACCCTGGAGACTACCCGAAGTCTCAGTCGGCAAACAACACACCCGATGGGTTATCAGCAACCCTGAAGACTACCCGAAGTCTTAATAGGCAAACAACACGCCCATGGGTTATCAGCCACCCTAGAGACTACTCAAGGTCTCAGCATACACGGTATCACATATAATAATAACAACAAATAAGACCCAGCTAGTCAGCACATATATACACAGATAAGCATTCAAGCGTCACAAAGACAGCAAGCATCCAACATACACAAGTTAGTGGGTCGGCATTGGTGCCTTTGACCCACAAGCATAGTGAGAAAACACACATGAATCGAAGAACTCTAAAACACTATGATGTGATCCCTTTTCTGCACTTCTTGCACCCGCGAATCCACTAACACCAGAACCATATAAAATCTTAATCAACAGATAAAAATCCTCAAGTGTGACCCAAGGTCAAACTGTTAGATAAGGTGTCTAAGTCCATAACTTATTTGGTATATACTTGACCCGACCCGGCATGGTCCATTTGGGTTGCATTTCACCCGAACTATTTATATGGATAATTTTATGAGAATAGTATATTTATGATTTATTAATATATTATAAGTTATAATATATTAATATGAAATTGTATTATTTAATTAGTATTGGTCTTAAATTAATTATGAATTAATTTAGTGATCAAATGGTGACTAATTAAGCATGGGCTATTGTATTTATATAGTGTGGGCTAACACTCATTATGGTAATGGGCTAAGCTTATATGGGAGTCCATGGATGATCCATGGAGCTTTTAACCCATGGATCATTGGAAAGGAAAAGACATGGGTTATTAGGGTTTAACCTAATCATGTGCACTATATAAACAAGCTTGTGATGCATGAAATGACACCCTAGTGTGTGTGAAGAAAGGTGGCCGATTTCTAGATCATAGATATACTCTCTCATAAGTTTTCCAAGTTTGTGGTGATTTGTGATTTCCATTTTAGGCATTCACATTATTGGTGCTTGGCTCTCAAACTCGTAAGGAATCAATTCACAAAAAAAGGTATGTAATTCATCTAGTTCTTTTATGTTTAAAAGTTCCCCATGCCATGCTAGATAAGTTATAAACCTTGGAAAACAAATTTTGCATGTATTTTAGACAAACATAGATCCAAGGTTTATTAGGGTTGCATGTACACTTAGGAAGTGTTAGAATGCTCAAAACCCAACAGTGGTATCAGAGCCTAGGCTTGTTTGTTGATACTTGATGCAAAATTGTGTTAAAAATCGAAATTGTTTGCTGTCTGAACAGTGGACTCGCCGAGTCGATGGGGGGACTCGACGAGTCCAAGTGAAAATTCATCCTACTCGTCGAGTAGGTTCATGCACTCGACGAGTAGAATGAACTGACAGCAGATTTTCGACTTTTGTTGCTGGAAATGGACTAGAAATATTACCCTAAACTGTTTTGGTGTTTAAAACCTGTTTTAGATGGTGTAATGTTTATGCTAATCCATTTACAATGGCTTATATCAAAATTCCATGATTTTATGTGCTCATATAATTCTTGAAATCTTGATGATCATGTTCATGTTCTTATAAGTTTAGAAAAATGATAGGAATTATTTGCTGAATTGTTTATCATTAATTCTTGATCATTTATGTGTTTTAATGGAGTCCATAATTTGTCCTCAAGTTATGGATATCCAAATGTCACTTTCTTTTAAACACACATTTAAACACATAAGTTACATAAAAATGAAGAGTCTTCATTTTTTATGAACCATTAACTCATAAGTTATGAAATGAAAAGTTTTGAAAAGTTTCAAAACTTGCCCTCAAGTTTTGGAATTTGTAAAGTTACACACACTTTAATATACTTTAATTCCAACCCTTAGAGTTTTAAAAGTTAAAATTCAACCCTTATACTATTTATAACATTAATGGTTAATTATTATATATATGTATAAGATCAAGTCGTTTTACCGTTAGTAGGCCTCATTCACGAAGCCGGTCTATAAGGGGGGTATAAGGTGGTTGCCTATAAAATGGTAGCTTAATGGGTGTCCACTCTCACCCACCGCTTCCTTGATCGGTGGAGGGTTGTTAGCCGAACGGGTAGGACAATGACTTTAGTTCTCATTAAAAGTATAATGATTATAAAGTAACTAAATATTTTTATAATTCCCAATCTTAGTTACTTTAGGAAAATGTGAATTTGGTGCTAACCCATGAAATTCACACTTTGTACCTTACCAAATCGTTGGTGGAGCGTGTGT